GCCCCGCCCAAGCCCTGCGCAGAGCCATTTGCCGGATTGCCTCAGGCAAAGGCTAGATTAGCACCTCCCTAGAGGACACAAGTTCTTCCACTGCAGACACAGCTGATTAACACAGCCAGTCGGCCTGGAGGTCAAATCCCTCTAGTATTAACTACAACAATCAAGGCTTAACTACAACAAGACTGCGCACAAAGACCACTAGGGGGTGTACCAAGAAAGCGTAAAAAATGCGGAGACAAAGAAACAGGACAAAACTATCAAGGGAGGATATTGAGTTCAGAACCACACTTTTGAGGTCTCTCAAGAGGCTTCTAGAGTCTGTCGATAAACTTGATGAGATGTACAGGAAATCTAATGAGACCCTCGATGGTGTGATAAAGGACCATCTAGAAAGTAAGCATACACTGACTGAAATAAAGAATATTATACAGACTCCCAACAGCAGACCAGAGGAGCGCAAGAATCAAGTCAAAGATTCGAAATGCGAAGAAGCGAGAAACACCCAACCGGAAAAGCAAAATGAAAAAAGAACCCAAAAATACGAAGATAGTGTAAGGAGCCTCTGGGACAGCTTCAAACGTACCAACATCAGAATTATAGGGGTACCAGAAGATGAGAGAGAGCAAGATATTGAAAACCTATTTGAAGAAATAATGACAGAAAACTTCCCCTACCTGGTGAAAGAAATAGACTTACAAGTCCAGGAAGCGCAGAGAACCCCAAACAAAAGGAATCCAAAGAGGACCACACCAAGACACATCATAATTAAAATGCCAAGAGCAAAAGACAAAGAGAGAATCTTAAAAGCAGCAAGAGAAAAAAAGTCAGTTACCTATAAGGGAGTACCCATACGACTGTCAGCTGATTTCTCAACAGAAACTTTGCAGGCCAGAAGGGAGTGGCAAGAAATATTCAAAGTGATGAATAGCAAGAACCTACAACCAAGATTACTTTATCCAGCAAAGCTATCATTCAGAATTGAAGGTCAGATAAAGAGCTTCACAGATAAGGAAAAGCTAAAGGAGTTCATCACCACCAAACCAGTATTATATGAAATGCTGAAAGGTATCCTTTAAGAAGAGGAAGAAGAAGAAAAAGGTAAAGATACAAATTATGAACAACAAATACACATCTATCAACAAGTGAATCTAAAAATCAAGTGAATAAATAATCTGATGAACAGAATAAACTGGTGAATATAATAGAATCAGGGGCATAGAAAGGGAGTGGACTGACAATTCTCAGGGGGAAAGGGGTGTGGGCGAGTGCAGGAAGAGACTGAACAAAAATCGTACACCTATGGATGAGGACAGTGGGGGAGAGGGGGGTAAGAGCAGAGGGTGGGGTGGGAACCGGGTGGAGGGGAGCTATGGGGGGAAAAAAGAGGAACAACTGTAATAATCTGAACAATAAAGATTTAATTTTAAAAAAAAGATTGGAAATAGTGGTGTCCAATAATAAGCAATATTTTAAATTATTAGTTAATATGATTTAGTATTTCTTCAAGCAATAGCAATGAAAAGGTAAGACTAAGTTATAGAAACTTTTGGGCAGTGACTAGCAAAATACCCAATATAGGATATAGGTACTGATTTTTCAGTAAAGCATGTGTTGTCTACATAACTAGGCTATGGAATGTTCTACTAGCTGCATGTTCTGTGAAACCCTGCCTTTTATAGTTAGTGTGAACCATTTATCCTCCATCATAACCTATCAGAGAAACATGCATGGGCCTCAGCTTACAGCTTAATAACACCTCTGATCCCTGGCCGGTGTGACTCAGGGGTGGAGCGTCGACCCAGGAACCAGGAGGTCACAGTTCGATTCCCGGTCAGGGCACATGCCTGGGTTGAGGGCTCGATCCCCAGTGTGGGGCGTGCAAGAGGCAGCGATGGATGATTCTCTCTCGCTGTTCATGTTTCTAACTCTTTCCCCCTCCCTTCCTCTCTCTCTAAAAATCAATAAAAACATATTAAAAGAAAAAATATATTTAAAAAATCATGTTAATAGAAAATCCTTCCAAACCTATTTTAATCAACTCAATCTAAAAGTTATTTATGTAACTAAGTGTACATTTCTCTCCTGGACTTCTGGAAGGAATATAAGTAACATAAAGTAGGTAGAATATAAAGTAAGTACGCATACCACGCAAACTTCCAGTGGTTAAAAGTGCTCGCGCTTTGTCAGCTAAATCACTATTTAGAGTGTTTCCCAGGAGCAAAACGTCAATGGCCTCTTGCTTGGAGCTGTCAAAGAAGTTATTCTGAATCGTTCTAGTGACAGAGCGAGCACCATCTTTTAGCTTCCCAGCCTGTTGGGGAGAAAGGAGCAAGGACTCTCATTCTAATCGTGCCATTCCACGCAGCAGGTATTCTGAAACGTAAGGGTGACATAATTGTACTGCAATAAAGGACCTAATCATTCTATTTTGAATAGCGAATCATCACATTAAAATGCTCAGGAGGCCACTGTTTCTCTTCCTCTTTGGACCACAGCTCTGCCCAGAGATGGAAGCTCAGTGCCACAATGTGAGGACACCTGGGGCGCCGATCGTCCAGCACTGTTTACGGGAAGAGTGAACTGAGCGCACTCCAACAGGAAATCACTTCTACATCATCACTGGACTGGAGGTGGGGCGGGGAGAAGCAGGGAGAGAGAGGAGGATACACTGACTCATAGGCTCTTATGAAAGCTGCAAAGGGCTTTAATAGTAGAAAATAAAATTGAAACTATTCCCTAGTAACTTCATTAGTTACAGCTATAACTGAACAGAAGAATGAAGGCCTAGTCTAAAAAGAAATTTATTAATATAGATTACATATAAACTACCATCTACATTTTAGGCCATTGTATTACCCGTGTATATGTAACTAACAAAAATAATAAACTTGGACTAATTCCTACAGGGAGAGAGTTTATATAATGTTCAATGAGCATATACTTACTTAGGTATGTTAATTACCATAAAGACTTATTTTGATCTTACAGATTTTGATAATTGCTTTAAAAAAAACAAAACTTTTGCCTTTTAGGAAAATAGTTTACAATATATTATTTTTATTCCTTAAAAAACTAACAGTAATTGAGGCTTAAAATGTTATTCCCTCCCATATAATTTCATACATAAAGGACATTATTTGAAAAGACACTCACCATTCACATTATCAGGCAATTAATCAAAACGAACCCAGAGAAAGGAAAAGAAAGAACAGTGCAGATGTTAGATTTTAGTTCAATGCAGACGAGTAATTAACATATAAAATTTCGTATCTATCAGGTTAGAGTAAAAGACCACTGACAACATATGTAACCTTTGTACGTATATTGTCGCAGTTGCTGCAGAAACAAAAAGGCAAGAGAACATTGAAGAGGATTTTAAGCAACAGTCGTAGAGCATCAGGTTGTAACATCAAGAATTATGTTCTTTATGTAAACTGAATAAAGGACAGTTTAACAATTTTAGGCTTTAAAAAACAGGATCACTTAGAAGACCATATTGAAATGTCAGTACGTGTGATTCTACGATGTGAACAGAAGGCACTGGCAGGCAGGGCCCTCTGGCCACATGGCGGCTGTGACGCGGGAGGGAGGCCGCCGTGGGAGGGAAAGCACTCGGGGACGGTGAGTGTCTTACAGAAGGTCACTGGCCGCGCTGAAGGAAGAGGCTGAGTGGGAAGCAGCGGTGACTGTCCTGCTTCTATTCTGAAGCGATCTGAGGAACTGCAGAGATTTAAAATTCACCTGGGGCCACGAGCCTTAAAATGTCCGTATTGTATATAAAATAATGAAAAATATCTCAAGCATGTTTCCAAAGTCCCTCAATCTGGGCCCAATATTAGAGTGGAAAATAGTCTGCAGGTCATGCCAGCAATTAAAATGCAACAATGAGGCCCAGAATTACAATTAAGTCCATAGCTCACACTTCTTTTGCACATTTTCCTAAGTCTCATCTTCAAGGTAAAGTAAGTAAAGCATAAAAACATAACCATTAAGCCCTAATAATGTTGGGCTCACAGCAGGTGTTGCAGAAATTGTCCACTGATTTATCTGTCCATCCAGCGTTTGTCATGTGTTTATTAAATAGCAGGCACTGTGTTAAGTGCTGGGGACCCAAGCCAAATATGATAGGACCCTTTATTACGAAGATCATGGTTAAAAACACCCTACTTATAATAAAACTAGAGGCCCAATGCACAAAATTCATGCACGAGGGGAGGGGGTCCCCTCAGCCCGGCCTGCACCCTCTCGCAATCTGGGACCCCTCGGACATCCCTCTCACAATCCGGGACTGTTGGCTCGTAACGGCTCGCCTGCCTGCCTGATCGCCCCTGACCACTCGCCTGCCTGCCTGATTGCCTCTAACTGCTCGCCTGCCTGCCTGATCACCCCTAACTACTGCCTCTGCCACCGCTGTGGCTTTGTCCAGAAGGACGGCCGGAAGGTTGTTCAGTTGTCCGGTCTAATTAGCATATTATGCTTTTATTATTACAGATAACAGTATAAAAAGTAAAACAAATATGCAAGGGAAGAGTCATTTTTTAAAAATGTAAGCATGTTACATACAGGCCTCAGGGATTCTCACTAAATGACTACATATGTCTGTCATACAGCTGCCTCCGCCAACCTGGGGAACAAACTAGCTCCTGCTCGATCAGGGCCCCGAGAGGAGGAGGAGTGAAAGAGGAGCAGAGGCATGATAAGGCAGAATTCTAAAGAGGGAACTTGAAAACCCTCTGAATTAATAAAGAGGCACTGAAAAGCCTTACCAAGAGGGAAGGAGGGCCTTGTCTAATTCAACAGAGCCACTCACCTTGGCCTTTCCTTCCAGAGCCCCGGTCCCGGCATAGATCTTACTGATGGAGTCACCGTTCACCGACCACATGGAGCGGAAAACCTCCTGAAAGCGAGTCACCAACTGGGGCTTCTCAGCCAAGCCGAGGGCTTCCAGCTGTTTCGCCAGCATCTGAAACAGCCAAGAGTGACTTTTGTAAGTGTGTTAACACGCTAATTGTGATGTGACTTTTTAAGAGCTACCAGGAGTAAACAGAAAGTTTGCAGCGATAGGACTCTGTAGGACTGGATTCTAAAAACGTAACAGTTCACTAGGCTGTGTTGTTTCCCACCATTTCTATTTTTAAAGTAAATACCACATCAATGAAACTTACAAGCAACTGAATATTCCCTTGTAGTAAGAAGAACGTCTTTCTGGCTAAATGATAAAATCGTATTAAAGTATCCCTATAGCCCTAACCGGTTTGGCTCAGTGGATAGAGCGTCGGCCTGTGGACTCAAGGGTCCCAGGTTCGATTCCAGTCAAGGGCATGTACCTTGGTTGTGGGCACATCCCCAGTGGAGGGTGTGCAGGAGGCAGCTGATCGATGTCTCTCTCTCATTGATGTTTCCAACTCTCTATCCCTCTCCCTCTCTGTAAAAAATCAATAAAATATATTTAAAAAAAATAAAGTATCCCTATAAATCGTACTACTTTACCTTGTTCATCTAAAAGAACTAATTATTCAACAGCATGGAGCAGAGCAGAAAAAATATTTACCTAGTTTATCTAAATGTATATAGAATGACTAAGTTCCTTTAGTTTTTAGATTTAGTTCTATAAGTTTGGGTAATAAGGTCTGGAGATTATGAGGAAAAAAGAGCTGCTCTTGAACTGTCACAAACCAACACTAATATCGGTGCTGTGTGCTCAGGTCCTGGAGGAACGCAGCGGGCCAGGGTCTCTGGCCACCACAATCCCCTCATCACAGGGCGCAGTAAGTGTGCAGAAAGCCAATGCTCTTTACTCAGGATGAACTGTGCCTCGAAACCTGGCAGAGTCAAAGCGATGCACAACCCATATCTGGCCCTTTTCTCTCACTTGGAGTCCAGTCATAATGTATGCCTGGAATTCACTGAACTCCGTCCTCTTTGGGTTTTCTTTTACCTTATCTGTAAGGATGGGTACTACCCATAAACCTCAAGGGATCAAAAACTAAAATCCTATGAAAAACCCTAACCCGGGTTGACTGCCAGGGCTGATACCAGCGCCGTTCCTCGCTGGCAGAGAAGGAAGAGACCAAGGCAGGGCCGCCTTCATCATTCCGACCGCTCTGTCTTTAAGGAGGTGGGCCAACTGGTCTTCACTACTAGGTTGGCTCTGCCTGCTTTACTAGTAAATTTGGTAACCACTTAACCAGTTTCTCACACCTGACTATCAACAGTGGATAACCACCCGAGTCAGATTCTGAAAAGTGAAACCTGTTGCACTTTTAACAAATCTTTAAAGTGCCTCAGTCAACTCGCTCTCAGAATCCACATCAATGCATCCAACCAGCTAAAAACAGAGTTAGCAGCACCGAGCCACACAATACACTCCATCCAGAAGGCCAAATGCCCGCTTTCACTTTTCTTGTCTGTCATATTTTCTAAGTACATTATAATGATAAATCTCAAAGACAGATTTCAGAAAGGGCAAACAGTAAAATTTATTTAGTTACTTGAGAAATGTCTCAAAAGACATTTCTGTAGCAGAGAATTCTACACACTGTGGTTTCATTTTTGAGACAGAAAGAACCGCAGCTCCAGCAACTAATCCACCAACATTCCGGCCCCAGGTCAGACCATGCACGGAGGAATAGGAACGTGGGACTTCCTGTCCTGTTTCCATGGCCGCTGAGAACTGCTCAGTCCCCGCGGAAGGGGTAAGTGAAGACCCGCCACAGCCGCAGCCCTCACCGCAGGACGGAGGACTTTGCGGGCACGGAGGCTGTGTGTCCAGCACTGACACTGTGTCTGTATTTGACTGGCCCCGATGGTTACGAGGCAGAGAAAAAAGGGTCTTCACACAAAGACCCTTCGAGACGCTGATCTCATTCACTTCCATTCTTGCTAACACAGTCCAGTCCTTCAGAGCCACTGACTGGACGCCATGCAGGCTGCACTGGGTACAGACCGTCCAAACGCACCCTACAGGCTGTGCATGGTCAGAGCCTCTCCATCCAAGAAACCTTTCAAGGACCACACAGAGAACGAGGACAGTACGGATATATACGTCTTTCTTCTTCTTCTTCCAAAGGAGGCAAAAGAGGCCGTTACTGGACTAGGAGAAGCAGCAGCGCTGGGTTTATCGGGAAAGTTAAGGAGTAACGGAGGGAAACACAGCTATACATGGAGTAAAACAGGTAAAGGGAACTAAAAAGACAGGGATGTTGGGGGGGGAAAAAGACTAGAAGGGAAATGCCTTTACTGAACCTAACTGCTCTGGGGGCGGTCATGAGAGCCACTGAGAGGCGCCGCACGGCCACGCACAGGACGGCCACACACAGGACGGCCACACACAGGCAGGCCAGCCAGAGGACGGCCACGCACGCACGCTGGCTCCTTACCTCCAGGCCCAGGAAGGCCTGCACGCTGTTTGTCCTGTCCAGGCAGTCCAAGCAGTTGGTGCGGACAGTCCCACTCTGGCACCTGCAACGAAGTCACTCAAGTTAAAGAGCTTGTTTGAGAAAAAAACAACAGAACTCAAACAAACTGAGAAAAATTAAGGTGATTAAAAGGTAGCATCCACTTTCCCCCCCCCCCAATTTTTTATCATTACAATTTTAAAACATAGAAGAAAGGTGAAAGAATTCTACAGTGAATATCTGTCTACTCACCAGGTCCTACAACTGTTACCATTTTGCCACCTATTCTTTATCACATACCTACCTGTTCCTCCACACCCACTTATTCTTAACTAGGCCAGCAGTTAAGAATACATTCAGACTTACAACACCATAGTTCTCTGCACATAAAATATATCAAACATTTAAGGAATAAATTTTGAAAATCTAAGATTGTAGGGAGCAGCTACAGGGTTAAGCCTCGGACTGACCTGTTGGCAAAGCCACAAACAAGTCCCAGCTCAGAGGGCACAGTCCTGTTGGCATAATTAGGCTGGACCTTATGCCGCTCCCTAGACCTTTCCTAAGTAGCTAATGGGCTGTGGGAGGTGCAGCAAGTGCTACCAAAACAAGTGAAACTCACAAGAACATTGTAACTATGGTGACCACGGCCTTGTTTACCTCTGACCACTGCGTTTACCTCTGGCTATAAAATAAAGGCTCAGCTTGCCTCTGGATCTCTCTCTGTGGCCTCAGCCAGGCACAGGAAGACCCACCTAGACCCAGCTTATTCTCTTTGTCTTTTCTTCAATCCTTCACCGCCCTCCTTCAGGCTCGCCGAACCCTTGGCTGAGCTGGCACATAAGATCTCTTATCTCTACTGACTGTCCTATGAAGTTTCTATAGCATTAACATATAGTAAATACCGTACACTGAAAAAATGTGAGCTTTGTTTACCAAAGATTACCTCAACCTATATTCTTAATTTCAATCTTTCAATACTTTTCTCCTCTACTTCATATGCAAAAGCTAACACTAAATTACACTAAAGCAGACAATATGCAACGTCTTTTACTTCCATTTGCATTTAGTTGTCTTTACGAGGCAAAAATATTAAAACATAATTTTAAGAGAGAAGTGGAACAGCCTCTCAGTACCAGGCTGGGGTCGGGAGCCTGAAGGATTCTAGTTCTCACACACCCTGGTCATGTGACAAGGGGCAGGCTATGCCAGTGCCTCCATCTCCTCCCCTGCAAAAAGGGATAGAATAGGGCCTCGCTGCTGTGGCTGATATGTGGAAAACCCAAGGGCACTGCCTGGCCACAGTATGTACCCAATAAAGTAAGCTATTGTTATTACCTGCTGAATTCTGAAGAAAAACAAACCTAAAATCAAGTATAGTCATTATAAACTCTGATTTTAAAAAAGACATTTAAGGGTGTAATGTTAAGAGTCATTTTTAAATTATAGCAAAGTTCCAATTCAAAGGAAAGAGAAACCGAGCAGGCGAACCTTCGAACGTCACTTCCGTCGAAATGAAAAAAGCCATAATCGAGGAACCTCTGGACCTGAGGCCTGAGGACGCTGTGCAGCTTCTCGGCCTTGCCCCCCTTCACCAGCTGGTGGTAGTCGAAGCTCACCATCTGCACGTCGGCGGCGTGCTCTGAAGCCTTCAGGTGGCTCTGGGAGGGAAAGGCAGGCTTCACCCAGGGGTAGCGCACGAGGCCCCCCGTGTACCTGTGACGGGAACCTGACCCTGAAATGCAACACTGACGTGCAAGGCTTTCATCCACGCAGCAGCCAGTACCTAATGCCATGTTTCTCCTGACCCTCCCGCCCGTCCCCGAGCGGCGCGGTGATGGGCGACCAGAGAACTTAAGTAACATTCTCATCCGGTTTAGAAAATGAAAAGCTATTTCCACCCACTCGCATTTCATGTTTACAATCCAAATTTAATAACTGTTTATATCTACCATAAATCTCAAAATAAAGTGGCTCTTGTTTTAAGACAAAGACTATAAAACATAAAATTCTTTTTTATATCTTTGTTCAATACATACAAATGCTTTGAAAGTTTACCATAAAAAGTTATTCTCTAATGTATAATCTGTTTATTAATAATATTTATTTCACAAAGTTAAAACAAAATAGCTGAATAATTCTGGAGCTCATTAGATTGAAGTTAAGGAAATGTTTCTAACCATTCTGTTTAAGCTTATAATTCTATATAACATCATAGTTTATATTAATTACTAAATTGGTGTTTATGAAGAATGTTTTCTTTAGAAGGCTTATCTTTTACTTGAAATTCTCACATTCCTCTCATCAACACCAGAAGGTGTGCTCCTGCTGTACATCAAGGCATTCATCACCACCTCAAGGGCTAACAGTGACTGGTTTCCAGCAGTGGGCAAGCGATTGCAGGTGGAGGAGCAACCAGGAGAGGAGCACACGAGGGGGAGGAGCACACGAGGGGGAGGAGGACACCGGGGGGAGGAGGACACCGGGGGGAGGAGCACACCGGGGGGAGGAGCACACCGCTGGGTCTTGCCCAGACAGAGGGACACTCGGGGGAGGATCTTCTGCTTTTCCACCACAGCAACAAGCCCACTTCGGGAAAGTGTCAACTGCCTTGACGACTTCCCACAACCCCAGGCTCACAACCTCACCCTCAACTGTTTCCTAACAGCCCGAAGGCCTAACGTCCCACGAGCACCACCCTTTCTCCAAGCAGCCTTTCCTTCCTGGCAGATCCCAGGACTCTACTGCATTGTTACACCCTCCTTACCTGGAAGGCCTTACTGAGCATATGTTCACCTTCCTTAGATCCAAGCAGGTTTATTACTATTTGTTTGCCATACAGATTCTTAAGTGTTCTAAAATGCCTGTTAAACAAAGAAAACAAGCACATGTCAAGTGATAAGGTGACATATTTTTTTCAATAAGTAAGAATCCATTATTAATCAGAACTTACATGGTTCTGTTTAAACTCATAGAACCAGCAAAATTGAATACAGATTCATTCCACGTGGTCTCAGGAACGGATGGGAACTCAGTCAGTCAGTGTCCTCTCTGACTATGGGTGCCGAGCCCCACCTGTGCTGGAGCTGCGGATCCCCCGGTCCCTCTCCCCCGGGAGCCTGGTGCTGGCCCAGCACAGAGAACACACGCTGGGCGGGCAGAGGGCACAGGGCTGCCCCTCACACCCGAGGACATCACAGCCTCCGGATGTCCTTTTAACCCAGTGCAACCAAAACCTCATTACACATGTGATCAATATACTAAAAAATGTTAATACTATAATAGCCACTTAAATTCTTTGTTTTGCACTAAGTGCTTGAAATCCAGTGTATACTTTACACTCCAGCACATCTCCAAACGGGCCAGTCGTGTACCCAGCAGTGACGTGGGGCTCGGGGCTGCGGTGCTGGGCGGCCGCCCCAGGGAGTCTTAAGGCCGAGACCAGTGCTGCCACTGCTAGAGGTCGTAACACTGTCTCCCTTTAAGTCAGGATCAGAAGACATTTTACTTGGAGCCAAAAACCGTAGAATGAATCCGTAAATGTAATGACCACAGGTCTCACCGCTTAACAACTTCAAAACCGAGAGTACCTGTACACAGAACCAGCCCTACCTGTCAAAGGCGGGCGCATTGGCTTCGAAGCCCCTGGACATCCGGACACGGTGCGAGCCCACCTGGGACAAGAAAGATGTGGTCACACCAACAGCCAACATGAGACCAAAGCCAAACCGCCGCCATGCGCGGTCATGCATTCTCTGAGCACAGAGCAGTGCGCCAGGTCACTGACCACTCACCACAGTCTCTTAAAAAGACAAGTTCTAAAAAAAAAAAAGGCAAGTTCTAGGAGTTTCTCCTCCCTTTTATTTTTTAAAATGCAACCTCATAACAAAAGAGCTAGAAGTCAGGCCATTATGAAACACTTGTAAATTAAGAGAAAATTTTAGTTGTGAAAGATACGTGTAAGCAGCGACCCCTTGCACAGTGCTGACCGCGTGTGCCAGGCACCAGTCTGTGCACCTCCCATTCCGTCCGCATGAGAACCCTCAGCAGCAGCTGCACTGCCACTGCCACTCCCTTCACAGACCCCGCCCAGGCCCAGGGCAGCTGCGGGAGAGGGAAGATTATTCAGAGCTTTGTTTTCAGCGACGCCTTTTCCTGCCCTCAGAGGCTAAGTTGTCATGTACTAAGCTACTGAGAGAGCCAATATGGAAACCCTAAACATCAATGTACCATGAAAACATCCAGATTTTGTCAAACACAGCAGCTGAATTTCTACCGATGTTGAAAAAACATTACAGGGAAAACATATCTGATACAATTCCAAGAACTCTGCACTCTGATCCTTGTTTATGAATCTAGCTGATATTAGATTGAATAATAGAACTCTCCAATGAACCAACAAACGATCCTGGAAACTTAAAACATATGGAAACTTTCAAGAGAAAAAAACAACAACGTCGAACACCTACCTGCAAGCCTGGCTGCTCCCAGAACAACGGAACCGAGCCCCGGATTTGGATGAAGGAAGAAACGGAGTCATCTAAGTACACGACCTGTAGAGAGAAGCACGGATAAAATAGTTCCGCAGGCACGGCTGCCACCTCTACGTCAGGAGACAAATTTACTAATATTGGTTGCACAGGTTGTATCTTATGACCCACCTCTCATACACAAATTGTCCTAACAAAATATCTCCTATATATACAGGGTGGGGCTAAAGTAGGTTTATAATTGTTTGTGTGGAAAATACGATAATTAATAAATAATAATAATACAAGGTTAAATTCTGTTTTGCGTATACTCCTAACTATAAGGCACTTTTGCCCCAACCTGTATTAACCAGAAAAATATCTACACTAATAAAAGAGAAACATGGTAATTGGCGTACGACCGCTACCCTTCCCATTGGCTAATCAGCGTATCCTTATGCAAATGAACTGTCAGCCAAGATGGCGGCCGGCAGCCATGCACTGAAGGGAGCAGGGAGGTTTGCTTGCTTCAGTGACTGCAGACTCCAACACTTGCCGGCCTCTGAGTTGCAACTCTAAGCAACTATGTACTATGTTGCAAATAAGAAGCTAAAAAAACCCCCAGAAACCAGCTGTCAGTCAGCCCCGGACCGCAACATTGTATCGATGTTTTCAGCAGCGAGGCCTCAGAGCTAAAGCTGGCCCAGAATTAAAAAAAAAAAAAAAGAAAACAAGGAGCGGTTGGGAGCTTTTAGTCACCTGCCAGCCGGAAAAACCTCTCATACACAAATTGTCCTAACAAAATATCTCCTATATATACAGGGTGGGGCTAAAGTAGGTTTATAATTGTTTGTGTGGAAAATACGATAATTAATAAATAATAATAATACAAGGTTAAATTCTGTTGTGCGTATACTCCTAACTATAAGGCACTTTTGCCCCAACCTGTATTAACCGGGCCTCAGTCCTATATAATAAAAGGCTAATATGCAAATTGTCCCCTTGACTGGGAGTTCAACTGGGAGTTTGACCAGTGGGGCGGGGCCGGCTGGCCAACCACCCGTGGCCCCTCCCTCCGGCTGACCGGCCCAATTGGCCCCCATTGGGGCAGGCCAGCCAGACCCCACCCATGCACAAATTCATGCACCAGGCTTCTAGTTAGAAATATAAGCATAGGAATCACAACTTTTAAAAAGGAATTCCTGTTAAACAGTACATACCTTTCTATTTTTTATACACATACCTTTCTATTTTCACATACTTTTTTCTTTAGTTTTTCATATTTTTAAAAAATTAATTTGAAGATGTGAGCTGGGCTTGAGGTGTGGACTAAATTTGCAATTATATAGTTTCACAGCAAAAAATATCATACTTTTTAAGTTTGGATGGTTCAAATATCTACAGATGAGAGTTGGGATTGACTTCATTTCACAGAAAAACACTTTTCCCAAGTTGTCTAGCTCTGTCAACGAAGATTTTAAATTCAACACCAAAGTGTAGGCCCTGGCGGGCCATGCTGAGCAGTGAAACGCCTGCTCCTACTTGGAGGGCGTCCCCACCCTCCTGCTGCCCTACTGCTTCCTGTGCGTCCACCGCCCACAGGAAGAGAGCAATAAAACCCTGGTACCTGCTCCGTTTCTACAAAATTGGCGACGTGGCCATCGTCGTTGGTGCCGCGGACATTGAACCTGGTCCCGGCCCGCTCGCAGCTCAGCCTGGAGATGAGGCAGGCCTTGGCCTGCTTGTGGGCCGCGTAGATGGTTCTGATCTCGACGCCCCCGCACATGAGGCGCAGCAGCCAGTCGTCGCAGCTCACGCCGTAGTGCTGGAGGTGCAGGTGCAAAGACTGGTTCCTGGGGAAAGGCAGGGCCGCCTCAGTCCCGGAGCACAGGCAGCACAGCACCGTGTCCTCCGGGACCCGCCATTAAACCAAAGGCACTGGGAGCCTGTCGGCTCGTGTACGTTTCCCACGCTAGGCCTCAGGAGGCTGGGCGTGAAACGAGATCCCGGGCAGGTGACCTGCGCCCAGCGCAACGCCTTTCTTCACCTTTTCCGGGACTTGTGTCTCGTCCATCAGGGAGGCGCAGGGTTGGCACGAGCAGCAGAATCTGTCCCTCACCTGCGCCCTCCCGCCCTCCCACACCATCTCCTCCTCTGCTCCTTCCCACTTACTCATAGCACTGAACTTGACCTGCATCCCATTCCTACTGAGTCAAATAAAATTAAAATAATAGGGGAATGTTGGCTTAGAAGGGCAATACTGCCAGAGACAAGATCTCAAAACTAAGAACAATAACATGAGTAACACAATCCTATTACAACGAATTCATTCCTAATTTTAAACTATAGATCTTAAAGATATTTCTGAAATGAGAGGTCAGTCGAGATCAGGGAGAGCAAATAGGTTTCATGACAAGGTCTATGAAGTGACAGTGGGCGTCTGCCTTGCCCGCTGAGGATTCTGGGGCAGAAGATGTGCGGCTGCACGCCCACTCCGCCGTCTCTGAGAGTGAACGCTGGCCCACGTGGCCCGCCTCACGGACTCACCAGAAGAACCTGTTGTCAGTCGTGTGCGCCTGCAGGCGGCGATGGGCGTTAAGGCTCAGGTCCAAGCTGACCCCCGAGGCCGACCACGCGAAATAGAAGTTCCCTGAGCTCAGCACCTTGCGCACTTCGGAAATGCGATCCTCATCCGAAGAGTCGGCTCGCAGGGATATAAACTCCGTGGAAGTCACTCGGAACACTTCAGATTCTTGAATTTTCCCCACAGACATGCACCCGGTGACGAGGACCAGATAATGTAGCGTGGTGTCACCTGCGGAGAGCAGACTGCAGTGACTCGAAGGCTTTGAGAGAGAGTGTCAATCATTCCAGACTCCACATGTGAGCTGCCCGCGTGGTGACGTCTTTCAACCCTGATCGATCTAATCTGGGATGATGTCGGCTGACAGAAGGCTCGCCGCCTGCTCAGGTTAATTATGTTGATGATAAACTTACCCAGATTGAGGCGTAAAACACCGAGGAGTCCATATGCATCCAGCACTTTGGAGTATGTACTCTTGATTGCCTCCTTTTCTGCAGAAGCTACAAAAGAAAAAAGTTTTAGGATCAGAAATAAGACCTGATACATCAGGTTTTATTTACCTATAAAGTCAGAGTTTCAACCAAAAATTTCTAAATCTAAATCTGATATTCTTAACAAAGGTGTTGCAAACAATACTTTCTCCGACTTGTAGCCTAAATGTTCTTCCCAAAGAGTGAGCCCAGGCTCCAGCACTACCTACTGACCTATCCCTCCCACCGACCTGCGTAACAAGATCTTTAGCAATCTTCGTTTGGGGGCTGTTTTGATTTTTCTTTCCTCCCCCACTGACGGGTTTGACTGCTGTACTACTAGAACCACCGCTAGGCTGTTTTGATTTTTCTTTCCTCCCCCTGCCCGCTGACGGGTTTGACTGCTGTACTACTAGAACCACCGCTCTGACGCCCCCTACAGGGTAACAGTCCTTAACAAGAGAGCTCCTGAATTGGCCCCAGGCATCCTTCCTGTTTCGTTTCTCATCACCCCCACTCCTGCATCCCCTGCTCTCACCACACTCTCACCAGTGCTGTCTCACTCGCCCTTTCACAGTCTGCACCCCGGCACAGCACAGCCGTCTGGCCTCCTGCCTGCAGGGCTCTCCCCACCTCTGCCTCCTGGCAAATTCCCTTCACCTGACAGATACGGGGCAGAAGGTCACTTTCTGGAAGCCTTTCTGCACCCCCAGCACAGCTCAGTCAGAGCTCCGTCCTCGTGTTACCGACACTGTATCTGTCCTCACTTCCTTCCCTTCGCCAGGCTGCCCTCCTCGCCCTTCCATCCCCACACGTAGGCTAGGGTTTCACACTCAAGGACTGAGCACCGTTTACAGAATGAAATTAACCACCACACAGCTTCGCATGGGAACAGGAAATCTTCCGTCTGGCCTTTGTCTTATTTCTTCCACAATAAAATTGATGTTATCTTGCTAATGAACATACCCCACAGAATAATTTCTGTACGGCAGGCTGTTTGATTTATATACTAAGAAAAAAACAAAAAAAACACCCTCTGGAACTTTAAAGGAAAAATCTTCCTAGTTCTTAGCAAATACATTGATTAAAAATTTGACAGAGAACCAAAGAAAAGTAACCCACAGCTAGAATCTCAAAGGACAATTACAAACAACACCTTCTCACACCTACACATGCAGAAAGGCACGAACCCTGGCTCCCTCCGCCTCCATCCAAGTCCTTTCCTCTCCCTCCCGCCACCGCCCCCAGCCCGCCTGCATCTTCCCGGAGGAAGCAGCGCTCATCTCCAAATGGCGCTGCGGTGATAAACTCTGATAATACCGTGTCAGCCCCGCCCTGGGCATTCTTCTTAACGAGGAAGAAAGATTCCTTTGTTTTAGGAAACTCCATGAAATACGCAGAAATATATGGTGTAAGAGGGAGAGACCTAATCGAATTATTGTCCCATTTCTCAGCAATTTAGTTCTGGAAAATAAGGTGAGCGTCTCCCACTGTGAGATGAGTTAGGATAAGAAAGCCAGGCCCTTTAAGACACCGTGCAAACTGGTGAATGGCTCAGGGCGCATCCCCCCTGCCCTTCCTCTCCCACCAGAGTCCTGGGCAGCCCCTCTCCCCGGTCCACGTTCTTTCGATCCGGAATACCCGTCAGTCATCCTTCCAAACACTCGCGTCCCCTCTCCAATACCTAACGCAGGCGCCACTTCCTTCCCGACCCTCTCCCTGACCCCTCTGGCTGCAGGTCAGCCGGTCTCTGTGTCACACACACCGCACAGCACACACTGCGTCCCGAGAGCAACAGGAGCCCGGTCTCATTTCTCTGCATCTCAGCCCAACACCAGCCCCACACGGAGACGGAGACGCCGGCCGTGCGGCTGCCGAGTGTGCATCTGCTAGACCAAGGCGAATCGAGAGGCTCAGCACCAGAGGAACTGTTTTGTTTAAAATAATACATAAAAAGAGGTACTTTTTTTATCCTCACCCAAAGATATTTTTCCTTTTTTTTTTTTTTTAGAGAGAGAGAGAAGGGCGGGGGGCGGGGGGGAGAAACATCGATGCGAGAGAGACACATCGACTGGTTGCCTCCCACACATGCCCTGACTGGGGCCGGGGGTCTAACCTACAACCCAGTCCGTGCCCCTCAGGGAATGGGACCCATGACCCTTAGGTTCTCGGGCCGACGCCCTAACCACTGGGAACACTGGCCAGGGCAGAAGAGAAACACTTTCCCCTGGCACGGACAGTACCTTATTGAAATTTAACAATTCCTCACGGGGACGTCTGGAAATGCAAAGGCGGTGCCAGGTGTCTGTGGTGGACGTGAAGGTGGGCGTGGGGAGACAGGCGTTGTTCAATTACTTCCAACCAGGTTTAAACCGGGGCTTGTCACCTGCTAAGGTGTGTGGGGTGCTCGGCAGAGCCAAGTGCAAGGATAATGGAAACGGGGTCCAGGCGTGGGGACAGGAAGCTCAGGTCCCTCTCCTGCCACAATGAGCTTCTGCTCACCTCTGTCAACACTCTGCTGAGGCCACGCCGCCCGGCTGGGGGACAGCCTGCCTCTCTTGGGCTGGCAGGGAGGGGACAGGGAGCTATGGGGGCAGCCTGCCTCTCGGGCTGGCAGGGAGGGGCCAGGGACTTATGGGGGCAGCCTGCCTCTCGGGCTGGCAGGGAGGGGCCAGGGACTTATGGGGGCAGCCTGCCTCTCGGGCTGGCAGGGAGGGGCCAGGGACTTATGGGGGCAGCCTGCCTCTCGGGCTGGCAGGGAGGGGCCAGGGACTTATGGGGGCAGCCTGCCTCTCGGGCTGGCAGGGAGGGGCCAGGGACTTATGGGGGCAGCCTGCCTCTCGGGCTGGCAGGGAGGGGCCAGGGACTTATGGGGGCAGCCTGCCTCTCGGGCTGGCAGGGAGGGGACAGGGAGCTATGGGACAGCCTGCCTCTCGGGCTGGAAGGGAGGGGAGAGGGAACTAAAGAAAGCGAGAATGAGAGAACAAGATGACAGTGAGCGTGACCTTCCTAGAACCATGCTTTGCCTGTGGCTGCACGCCCCGTGGTTTGTGGGCAAGGGATTTGCATGTGGGCAGCACCGGGGCAGGCAGACCCAGAGCCTCGGGGCAGAAAAGCCCAGCGATGAGGCGGCACAGCCGCTGGGTTCCAGACGAGACTGGAAGTTGGGTGATTCACCGGAGATCACAGAATCGGCCACAGGAGAAACGCTCTCCATCTCAGCACACACCAAGGGAAGAATGTTCTACAAGGCCAAGGTTTTCTCTGCATAATTAAATAATTAAAACCCCAGCTGGAAGACATTAAACCATCCAAAGTAATGTTCCACTTAAGCTACACATTTCAATCTTGGCAACAGGCCAAAACCAAAACCACCTTTCACACATGTACGCAACAAGTATGCGCCGAATGCCTGCCGGGTCCCAGTGCCCATCCCTCTGTCAGGAAGACGGGCATCCCACAGCCATCCACACGCAAGTGAGAAGTGTGGACGCGCTGGGATGGAGTCCCACAGACTGCACCAACCTCACTTACACTCTGCAGAAGTGGCCTCGCAGCTGCAGCCTCAAGAAGGACCAGGCGGCGAGCAATGAAAAGTGGAGGCACCATGTTCCGGGCAGCAAACACACAGCTCCGGCCAGCAATCCCAGCCCTGAGCCCACCCATCGGCAAGGTGTGCGCTGGGCACCACCAGGCGGCACAGGATGTGCACCCCTGTCATTCCTGACAGGACAGACGCTGGAGAGCCATACACGGACACCACACGCAGCAGAAGCGAACAAGCTACTGTCAACTGGGCACCACCAGGCAGCACAGGATGTGTACAGCGTGTCATCCCTGACAGGACAGACGCCGGAGAGCCATACATGGACACCACACGCAGCAGAAGCGAACAAGCTACTGTCACAGGCTACCACACGGTGGTCTCCCACGTGGGCCGCTGAAAGAAAGCAGCAGACACGATAGAAGACAGAGTGAATGGCTCCATTTCTGTTCAGCTCAAAGCCAGGTAAAGAAGTGGGACCAGGGACCACCTTTGCGGGTCAGGGGGAGGCCACTGGGAAGGGACAGAGGGAGTCTCTGGAGAGCGAGCCACAATGTTCCACTTCTCCACCTGGGGGCGGCGACATGCGAGTGTCACTCATACTTCATCAAGCTCAACATTGACTCATGTACTTTTCTACACGAGGGAAGAAGTTTATTTTTAAAAGTAAAATGTTGAGCAAAAAGAACAGCATGTGTAAGACCCTGAGACCAGACAGCATTTGGCACATTCTGCACCAAAAGGTCAGTGTGGCTGGAACACAGAAACCCCGGAGCGCTGGATTCTAGGGTCAGTATCAACCACTGAGGTATTAAGTGAGGGAATAATATGACCAACTCGTGTTTTTAGAGACCGGAGCGTGGGTGGGGGAGTGGGAGCAGGAGACGGGTTAAGAAGGCGAGCAGCATGGTTCGTGAAAGGGGCCCCGGGGGCTGGCTGGGACAGAGCCGTAAGGGGTGCGTGCCGCTAGGAGGCTGAGCAGTCTGGCCCGGGTGGAGTGAATGTGATGAGAGGAAGCGTGCAGAATGATGCTTAGGGTGTTAGGGGATGGAGTGCAATCCATGAGGTAAGGAAGACGGGACCAAGAGCAGGTCTGGAGCGAGGAGCTGGCACGACCCCAAGGCTCACCAAGGCCCACCTCGCTTGCTCCCCTTCTCTCGGGAGCAGCGTCTGTTCATGCCTGGAAGTTGTTTCATACACTGGGTTTGTTTCGTCCGCTGTTATTCATGGTGGGAAGGTAAATTCAGTTACTGTTACATCAGGGTTAGAAGCGAACATCCTGTTATGGTCCTGGGCTGGTGATATTTTACAGGACAATTGAGAACATCTGCTAGACCTTAAATCATGTAATAAAAAGTCTCATGATGGGGTTTTACTGCTCGGTGAGAGAAACTGCCTTCGCCTTCTATTTCCTGATGGCAAAGTTAGTGGCAAAAAGTGAAAGCACGCCGGTAGCATAGCTGGCCCTACTCGCTGGCTAACCCTG